GAGGGGGAGAAGGAGGAGGAGGAGGAGGAGGAAAAGGAGGAGGAGCAGGATGAGCAGGAAGAAGAGAGGAAGAGCTGGAGGAGGAGACGAGCGAAAGAATCGTCGCCTCCTCCTCCTCCTCCTCCGCCTCTTCCTCCTGTGTCGTCGGACCGAGAATCCATGCTTGTGCAAGGCTTTCGGTTCGTTATGGGCCTGTCTGGGGGCACGAGACGGCCTCCAGGGACCTCCAGGGAGGAAGACGACGGCGGCGCTGGAGAAGCGGAGCGAGAGGAAGCCGCAGGAGAGACAGATGAGGAGGAGGGGGAGGAGGAGGAGGAGGAGGAGGAGGAGGAGGAGGAGGAGCAGCATCAGCATACGTCGCAGGAGGAGAAAGACGAGAAGCGTGAGAAGCTGCAGGAGGAGGAAGAAGAAGAGCAGGCGGAGGAGGAGGAGAAGGAGAAGGGAGGAGGATGAACGGCGTTTCTTGCGCGGCGCTGTCATCCAGGAGAGCGCGAGATGAGAGGATAGAGGAAACATAACCATGCAAATACACCGATTTGGGCCAGGTCCGTCCTGAGCCCAAGATCGGTGCATACGCACTCCTGCCTTGGCCACGAAGGCATATGCCCCGATCCTGGGGCCAAGGATGGGCCTTGCCAGGATCGGTGCGCGTGTATAGTTCTCTTCGCCCGACAGGTGAAGCGGCGCACGCGTCAAGGTCGCGGCTTCTGCGAAACGGAGCCGCAGACCAGGTAGAGGAGGGCCCTGAGGTGGTGAGCTTGATGAAGTGGCCGGGGTGGGAGCCAGGCACAGCATGGGGGTAGGAGCCGGAGGTAGGGGCAGAGTAGGAGCCGGAGAAGAAGTCGATGAGGACGGGGGGGGAGAGGGGGAGAAGGGGGGAGGCTGAGAAGGACAGAGCCGGGTGGGAGGGACAAGGAGGGCGGGGAGTACAGGGAGAGGGGGAGAAGCAGGAAGACGACGAGCAGCAGACTGAGGAGCAGAGAAAGGAAACATCAGCGGAAACAGCAGTAGGATAGCGACGACGAGGAAGAACAGAGTGGTGGATGGAGGGGACGATGACGGGTAGGGGGAAGACCAAGCTGCGAATGCAGCCGGATGCGCGTGCCGCGGACGAACACGGACCTTGAGCCCAGCGTGGCTACGGAGGAGGAACGAGCGGGAAGAGAGGACGCCATTCTTCCTCCTCATTATCCTCCTCCGTCTTCCTAGAAAGAAAAAAGATCCTGGCCACTTCTGGGTATGGGTCTCCACGTTCTGGCAGTGCGGAATTTGCTTGCAAGGGAAAAAAGTCAGAGCCGCACCCTGCCAGGCACATGTACCTTGGCCCCCTCGTTTGTATCCATGGTGCTTGATTGATGATGGTCATCGCTGTGCGTTTACGGGTTGCTGCGATGATTCATGTCTTTGCATCTGCTTGGACTGCCACCATTGCAGCAAAGCTGTCCAAACCTTGCGAGGGCCGGCCAGATGGAGCTGGAAGGACTGCCTGGAAACGTGTGCGCAGCGGCAGGCACCCCCGGCAATCCCCCTTCTGCTCCTCTCCTCTCCCCCTCCTCTCCACCCAACGGCTCGGCCGGTGCCCCTACAGGCATCCTGCTCTCGCAGCGGGACTCCGCCGCGGCGAGGCTGGTTCCCCCTGAGCAACCCGATATTCCTCAGGGCTTCCCGACTCTGGCGTGACCCGAGCATGATAGAAAATCGGACGGCATGTTCGCCGGCACACATGAGCAGCAGAGGAAGACGTGATAAGGGGACGAGAGCAGCAGACTGTACTCACGCCTCCTCCCCCTCATCCTAATAATTGTCAGCAACCGCATCACCAACAACAACAACATCAATATCATCATCATCACCACCACCACAACCATCATCATCATCATCATCATCATCATCATCATCACCATCATCATCAACATCATCATCATCATCCTCATCATCATCATCATCATCACCATCATAATCATCATCCTCCTCGTCACCATCATTCATCGTCATCACTCATCAACATCAACATCATCATCAGCATCAGCATCAGCATCAGCATCATCAGCGTCAGCATCAGCATCAGCATCAGCATCAGCATCAGCATCATCATCCTCATCCTCATCCTCATCCTCATCCTCATCCTCCTCCTCCTCCTCCTCCTCCTCCTCCTCATCATCATCATCATCATCATCATCATCATCATCATCATCATCATCATCATCATCATCATCATCATCATCATCATCATCATCAGCATCATCATCATCATCATCATCATCATCATCATCATCATCATCATCATCATCATCATCATCATCATCATCATCATCATCATCATCATCATCATCATCTCCCTCGCTCCCTCTCACGTTGGTGCGGTACGGCCCTGGTGTTTAGATCGAATATGAGCAATGTTCGCACCTGCCTTTGCTGCCGCTACCTTGGCCCCGTTGGCCTGCGTCGGGTTCCTCATGCTGCTGCGATTTCTGCTTTAGCGGGTGCAGGGGTACGGGGAGCCCAAAAATCTGTTGGGGGCGGTGTTAAGGGGGGGAATGGGGGAGCTGGGGTCACTCTCCCTCCCCCCCTCGGGTCATCGTAGCCTGCCAGGTTCGAGCCGTGGCTGGGTTGGGTGCCCGTGGATTCCTGGCTGGTCTGTGTTGTTGACACGAGGGTAGGCCCACTCAGGGAGGCAACCTCTGGCCGGCGTCGGTGGAGTCCTCCTCCGTCTCCGACGAGCTACTCGTCGTTGCGAGATCGCTCTGGCAGGCTGGCAAGGCAAGCGGCTGCCCTCACTCTCCCCTGCCGGGGTTGGCCTCCCCTCGGGGTGAATCACAGGCCAGGGCTGGGCCTCCCCCAGAACGATGCTAGGGGAACGGACAATGACATGAACAGATTCAAAAACTCGGAGGTCCGCGCGGATTTCTCGGCCTGGCGCTGGATCCCCCTCCCTGGCGCGGCGAGCAGGCCAGGGGCGGCGCCGGACGCCGATCCGAGAAATCCGCGCGGGCCTCCGAGCTCTGATGTTTCTGTCGATGTCCGTTCTCCTGGGTGAGGGTGCCGCGCGGGAGCCCCGGGCACCCAGCCTCCGGCGGCAGCCGTGGCTGGCCGCCGCCGGTCGCCCAGGGGGGTTGCTGCTGGCGTGCGCCGTGCTTTTCGCTGGCCCGCCGCCTGCCGCACCTTCCCCTGCGGGGGCCACGGGGGCGCCGGCCAGGCGGTCCGCTGCCACGGCATGGCGCACGCCGTCCTGGTGGCGCCCGCGGCGGTGAGCGAGGAGATGGCCAAGCTGAAGCAGGCGTTGACGGCGCGGCAGGAGCCGCCGCGCGAGGCGGCTGGCACGGGCGCGGCGCCTTTGGCGGGCGCAGCGGCAGCCCCAGCGGGCGGCGCCCATGGCGTCGAGATGGAGATGGAGCGCATCAAGCAGGCGCAGGAGGCGGGGGCCGCTGCGGGGACGGCAGCCACGCCGCTGGCGGCCGCGGCGGCCACAGGGCCCGCCGCGGGTGCGGGGCTGGCGGCCGGCGGTCTGGCCGCCCTTCTCTTCGGGCTAGCACTGGCCCATTCCTGCGTGCTTCGGTCGCCAGGTGGGCGCTGACGACCGCCCGGTGTCTCTGCGGGCGGTGTGCTGGCTGTCGGCTCGCCACATGCCACACCCACAGCTGATTCGCTGGTATACGGGCAGTCGGCGGGCCACGTGTCGTGCGCCCCCCTGGTTCGCAACGCGGCGGGCCTTGGGACTGTCTAACGGCTGGCCTCTGCGGTGTCTGAAGCAACGGAAAGAGCGAGGTACGAGTGATGACGTTCTAGTGTGGGGCGAAGCCCTCTAGGGAGGGGTCCAGGGGAGGTTGGAGGACTGGGTGCAGGGTTGGTAATGGCCGTTTTCGGGTTTTCCCTAGGGTTTTTGCATGTTTTTCGGGTTCCCCCCCAAGACGGCCCAAGAGCGCTCCAAGAGAGCCCAAGACAGCCCAAGACGGCCCAAGAGGCTCTCAAGAGGCCCCCAAGAGGCGCCCAAGGGGCGCCACAAGAGGGCCCCAAGAGGCCAAAACCACTGATTTTCCGTAGGAAAATGCATTTTTAGCATATACGGTTTTTCGGCTTTCACGACGTTGACGACGGTCCAAGAGGCCCCCAGGACCGCGCCAAGACGGCCCAAGAGGCTCCCAAGAGGCCCCCAAAACGGCCCAAGAGGGCCCCCAGACGGCCCAAGAGGCGCCCAAGACGGCCCAAGAGAGCCCCAAGACGGCCCCAAGAGGGGGACCAAGAACCAACAAGTCTAGCCTTTCGCCCCAAGACGCTCCCAGTAGGCCCCAAGAGCCCCCCACGAAGCCCCAAGAGGCCCCCAAGAGGCGCCCCAAGAGGCCACCAGGAGGCCAAAATCAATGATTTCCGATTGGTGAACATACATTTTTAGCATACACGGCTTTTCGGCTTTCACGGCGTTGAAGACGGTCCAAGAGGCCCCCAAGACCGCCCCAAGACGGCCCAAGAGGCTCCCAAGATGCCCCCAAAACGGCCCAAGAGGGCCCCCAGACGGCCCAAGAGGCGCCCAAGACGGCCCAAGAGAGCCCCAAGACGGCCCCAAGAGGGGGACCAAGAACCGACAAGTCTAGCCTTTCGCCCCAAGATGCTCCCAGGAGGCCCCAAGAGCCCCCCACGAAGCCCCAAGAGGCCCCCAAGAGGCCCCCAAGAGGCCTCCAAAAGGGCTCCAAAAGGGCCCCAATGGGACTCCCAAGAAGGCCCAGAGACGCCAAATAAAGAGCGATCGGTCACGCAAAAAGCTCTTCACACCAAGGCTCCCAAGAGCGAACGGTGACGTAAACAAGCTGATAAGACCAAGGCTCCCAGCAGAGAGCGGGGACGTAACAAGTTCCTGACACCAAGGCCCAGCCAAGGCTCAGGAACGGGCGACAACGCAACAATCTCTGAACACCAAGGCTCCCAAGAGCGAGGGGTGACGTCTCAAGCTCTCAACGCCAAGGCTCCCAATACGAACGGTGGTGTGAGAAATTTCGGTTTCTGTTTCTGAAGCGCTCTTTCCGTTTCCGTGCCGGCCCAGGTGCCATTGCTCTCGGCTCCGATCTCATCCGCAGAATCGTCGTCGACAGCATCACCATCGTTCTAATGAAACTAATACTCACACTGATACTGATACTCATCGACATCCCAAACTCATCCTCGTCCTCATTATCCTCCTCGTGCTTCTTCCCCTCCTCCTCCTTCTCATCACCATCATCATCATCATCATCATCATCAACATCATCATCATCATCATCATCATCATCATCATCATCATCATCATCATCATCATCGTCATCATCAGCATCATCATCATCGTCGTCGTCAGGTCGTCGTCGTCGTCGTCGTCGTCGTCGTCGTCGTCGTCATCACCGTCGTGACTCCGACCGCGACGACGGCGGCAGCGGCAACAGCGGCGGTGACGATGGCGGCCACGCGCCCGCAGGCAGGGGGCGCGCGGCGGCCTCGCCCGAGCTGGGACAGCCTCGGCCGCGGAGGAGCAGGAGAAGGAGGAGGAGGAGGAGGAGGAGGAGGAGGAGGAGGTGGAGGAGGAGGAGGAGGAGGAGGAGGAGGAGCAGGAAGAGGAGCGGGCAGGTGCGGGGCAGACTGCTTCTCCGCCTCCGCCTCCTCCTCCTCCTCCTCCAACTCTTGCCGGGAGGGAGGAGGGGATGGAAGGGACTCCGAGGGGAGGAGGAGAGAGAGAGGAGTGAGGGGTTGGAGAATGAGGAATGGGAGTCGGAAGCCTGGGCAGCTGGTGAGCCCTCAGCTCTTACGAGACGGAGGCTCGAAGACTCGACTTG